CGCCCCGGGGCCCCCTCGTAACCATAGCAAAATGCCCGGCGTAGCACAAAAGCCATAACCGGCCGTACACCCCTCCAGGAGAAGGCGTTTGGCGAGCCTCGGAGCAAAGGCGATTTTAGCTTTCTCCGTGCCCGGGGCTCGGGCGGGAGGAGGAGGTGCCGGGGCTCGTTCCGGCCGCCGCACGGCAGCGGTGGGAGCCGCACTTCGCGGGCGTCGGGATGACGGGGCTTGCTCTGGCTGCACGGAGGCTGCCCGGGAAGCAGAGCGTGCTCGCTCCTGGGTCTCCTCGCATGAGTAGGGCTGGCAGGAGTTGCCTCTTTATGTAGGTTGTTCTGAACACTTTTTGTATCGGGCAGGGTGGTCTCCATGTTTTCTTTCTTTCTTTCTTTCTTTGGCGGAGGGAGGGGGGAGTGATGGTAAGGGGCTTGTTGGATGATTATAACCGCTACCACTTATAAATAAGTTTCTTGGGGAAGGGCTGATATCGTACCCTTGATATCAGTGGGTGTGTTCATGTATTATTTTAATATGATATGTCTTTTATACAGAGCTTGTTTTCCTCCTCCCTCCCTCCCCAGCCCACCCCCCACCCCCCCCGCTTTGTTTCTGGAATTTGTTTCGCTTTTAAAGCACCAGCACAAACAAACAAACACACAAAAATGACTGGCAACAAGTTAAATCCCATTTGTGTCCCTCCCACCGAGCACGGACGGTGCCTCGCTAAAGCCTGGGGTTTGTAGTTTTGCCTCGACAATAATTTGACCGAGAAAGAGAAGCGACTGCAGACAGACTTCCCGTGCACTGACAATGCGGAGAGGAAAACGGTGAAAGAAAGAGTTCTCCCGGGATGCATCTCCCTTGTGTGTTTTCTCCTCTCCATCTTTTAGATTGGGGCTCTCGCCTAGGCTTTTACACACACACACGCACACACAGGTTATGTTTCCTAGGGACTTTTTAGAAAACAATGTTTATTATAATCGAGCTATAAACTCCACCTAAATGATGAAATCATGCCGTAGCTCCGGAAACTCCAACAGATAAATAATTTCCATTTACCTGCTAGCAGAATACTAGCAGAGGATGGCATTGCACTTTATTTTCACACTCATTTCAAAACAACAATGAAGGGTAAAGAAAAGGCTCCCAAGTCCTCGTACACGTTGGAATTAATAAAACGGTATTTGTTTAGGAGCAGATCACTTTTTTTTTCCTTCCAAGGCGACTACAAGCTAATTTCTGTGGTGATACTAAATAGTGAATCCGCAAACGCCAGAAGCGTGTTCTCACTGAGGGTCGGGATCCTGTCCCGCTCAGGCTTCGCTGCAAGGCTCTCCCAGGGAGCCGCCTGCATTCCCGCGCCTTCCCTTATTTTACCTTACAGAAGCGCGGAAAAACCAGTCGTGTCTGACTGTGCTAAATGTACCTAAGAGATACCTTTTCACGCAGTCGCGCGGCTTGCAAACGGTAGTTTATCTGTTGTGGTGGGCACGTGTTTTGTCATATGAAATTAACTTGTGAAAGCCTTTGTATCATTTTCTGATTTGTGTTTGGCGACAGCGCGGATCATATCTCATCGCGTTGATGGTTGATACAATTGCTAAATTAAAGGCGTGTTTTCGGCTTTGAAAAACAACAAAAAAAACCAACCCTCTGAGAGCTCATCCTCAGCAAAACAACCCGAGGAGCAGGATAATAACGTAGCGCAATATTTTCCATGCGTGTGCGGTATCTCCATATACTTCTGTATCATTCTGCGTCTCTATTGTCTATGCCTAAAGATAGCCAAGTCACTCCTGGGCTTCTCATCTATAATCGCCACCTAAAAGAACATACGGGCAGTATACGGATAATGGCTCTAATTGCTTGGAGAGCTGTAATCGGCGTTATATTTTTTCCGTGTCTTTATCTGTTCTCCCGTGGTAAAAATTAGCAACCGAACTGCCCGCCTTGACGTGTTTCTATGTTTGAGCCCCACGAAGCCCACCAAATCGTTACAATAAAGTGACCAAACCTTCCTATGCACGTCGCAGTTTTGTTTTCTCTGCTTATGCTCTGCTTCTCATCTCGGAGGAGGATACCGCGTTGAGCCAAGTGTTCTGGTTTAGGCGCTCCTCCGGACTTTCGGATTTTAAGTCTAAAGCTTCCAGTATGTTGGGGCTGAAATTATGATTTTCCACATTTCAAAAGGGACGAGGCTCTATTTATAAATGTTACAGAAGGTTTCGTTACTTCAGGAACAACAAAACAGGAATAGAGCTGCAATTTTCAAGAAAATAGGATTTCAAAATACAGAAATAAAAAAAGTAGCGGAGACGATGTATAATTCAATCAAATTACAGAAAATTGCTTTAAAATTCAGAACAGTAGCGATCCATTATGTCTCTGTTTTATTAGTGACAAGTACAATTACTCTAAAATAAAGAACACTGGTGAATATATAATTGGCTGTAATCATGTTAGTGTTTGAATAAAAATGACGGGGACATTTAACACTTTGACAACAAAATGTTCAGAAACAACTTATTTATTCAAACAGTTTTTATTTGCATCCACGTGAAGGAGAAACACACTTTTGCTTACGACAAATCAAGGCTTTTTCACTTTCAATAAATATAGAACTAAAAAAAAAAAAGATTATTAATTATTTTATTATCCAAGGCTTAATAAAGTCTCCTGAGTACGACTGTATTATTATTGATTACTCAGTACCCAAAGGACGCCATCTACAGGAAAAGGTCTTTAGGCTTAACACAAATCTAATCACTGTTGATTTAAAGGGGAAAAAAAAAATCAGAGTTAATATTCCTCTATAAACCCGGCTCCGATTTTACCCACAACACCGATCACAATATTTGCTTTGTAATTGCTTCTTGCGATTCAGTTTGTTATAATTTGACACGATCTAAGAATCTGTTACAAGAGGCCTTTTCTCTGAGATACGGCGTTTAAAAAAATACATTGAACTCCACGAAGAAGCACTTTTTCTCCTTCTAAAGCGACTCTTTTCTCTCAGGATTGACTTGATCGTCCCTGAAAACGCAGAACAGCCCATGAGATCTCTCCCTTCAAACCAAGCGTGTGGAAGATGCTTGCAAAAGAGCCCTGGAAACAAAACAACTTGACTGAAGGCGGCTTGTGCAACAATTGTGTCGTGGAATACCTAACATTTCTTTATCTTTAACTTATTTCCTTTTGGATAATGTCAATAAATATCAGCTATGCCAAGCACACTCTCATCTGTTCTTACAGTACACCCTTTGCCCCATAGCCTGGTACTTAAAGGTGCCATTTAGCCGTGTTGTTCCTTTCTGAGCCCTTGCTGGGAAAGCCATCGAAGTAGAAAGGGTGCCGCTTAATATTTTGATCATACAAATACAGACCCGCGGAGACGGCATATGCCCTCCGTGATGTGACTCCAAGACCCCGGTTCAAACTACAGAAAATACGAGGAGAGCTAGAGGAAACTTTCAGGACTCCTCTTTCTGCGGGCTGCTTTTTTTTTTTTTTTTTCGGTTTTAATCCCGAACGAATTTTTCTTTTTTTTCTTTTTTAATTTCCTATGCATCTTCCCCTCTCGACAAGTCTCCAAATTTCTGCCCCTGGTGTGTGTGTGTGTGTGTATGTGCTCATAAGGGGCTGGACCCGACACTGACCCGTGCGGATCCCGACTCCCGTGCGGCGGAGCGCAGCGCAGCCCGGCTGCGCCTTCACAGCCGGCTCCCAAATCTCTTCCCTAGCCAGGAGGGTTTTGCCGGCCCTTGCGGCTCCTTACAAATAAAGTAGCTCTGGCTTCTTTCTAACGCAGGCCAGAGATCTGGACGGGCTTGGAAAAAATTCAGGGGTGGATTCAACTGTGCAGTCAGGAGTCAAAAGCAGAAGTGCGTTGACACAAAGGCTGAGAAAAAAAATGACCCCCGGTGCACCCTGGATTTTATGCGTTATTTCGGAAACCGGAGACAAAAGCCTGGAAACTATTATTATTTGTGCTCCCGCTGCGATCAGGCTCAAAGTTTACACCGAAGGTCTCCCTCTGCCTTCTCACTTCTGGGCGCTGAGGGTGAGCGTCCCACATCGAGGGGCTGGGTCCTATCCCTGCTTTTAAACTTGAGGAAATCTCAGGAGAGGAGGTTTCCTTCCCTCGGGCCAGCCGCTCCCGCAGGCGCAGCCGGGGACCGGCGGGTCCCTCCCCGCCGGGGGCCGAGGCGGGGGCTCCCCTCTGAACCAGGAGGTCTGTCGTTTCTCGGGTGCTTCGTACCAAACCGCAGATGTCAGCCTTTCCCTACGTGTTCGGGCTGCTAATGCGGGCACTTCACACAACAGAAATGCTCATCTCTGGAGCCTTTCCCAGGGCTAGCCGCCGATTTCGTGCGTCGCCTCTGCCGCAGGCGGCCCCGGGGCCCCGGGCGGGGGACCCCCGGTGCCCGGCAGCCGCTGCCGACGGGACCCTGATCCCCTCGGGGCCGAGCACCCCGCAGTGCCCCGGCGGCCCCCGCCGACGGGCCGAAGCACGAGCTCCGCACATCCCCGCGGGGACACGCTGCCGAGGTCCCCAGCTCGACACCTCCCACGTGCCTCCGGCAGAGACCGCGTTCCCGGCGTCATTCGCGCCGAAAGGTCCCTCACCTGGCGGCCCCCGCCCCGCCCCGGCGTCGCCAACCGGGGGAGCCCCGGCCGGGGCCGCAGAAAGCCTCGCCGCCCCTGGGACCCCCCAGGCTCTCCCCTGGGAACCCGTACCCGCGGTGCCCAGCGGAGGGCCGAGGGGCTCCGGCGGCTCCGCACGGGAGCGGCGCGGTGCCCGGCGGCCGTCCCCGGGCCGGG